CCCAAACCCTAGACCCTAAACCCTAAACCCCAAACCGTAAACTTCAAACCCTAAACCACAAACCCTAAACCACAAACCCTAAACCCAAACCGTAAATCCACACCCCTAAACCCCAAACCCTAAATCCGACACCCCAAACGCCAAACCCTACACCCTAAACCCCAAATCCCAAACTCTAAACCCCAAATCCAAAACCCTAAGCCCAAAAACCCTAGACACCAAATCCTAAACCCTAAACCCCACTGCCAGGTCAGGTCCTGGGCCTCATCGACACCACCGTCTCTTCCTGGTGTTTCTAGGCCGGGTGCCAGACTTGGGCTAAGGGGTTTTAGGCTTAGCTTTCAGGGCTTAGGGTCTAGCGTTGAGGGTTTAGGGCTTAGGGTTTAGGGTTTGGGGTTTAGGGTTTAGGGCTTAGGGTTGAGGGTTTAGGGTTCAGGGCCTAGGGTTGAGGGTCGGGGGTCTTGGCCCCTCAAATCCTAGACCCCTAAATCCTAAACCCTCAGCCCTAAACCCTAAACCCCTAAACCCCGAACCGCTCAACCCTACATCCCTAAACCCCTAAACCCTAAAGCCCTAGACCCTAAACCCCTAAACCCCTAAACCCCAAACCCCTCAACCCTAAATCCCTAAACCCCTAAACCCCCTCAACTATAAACCCCTAAACCCCCAATCCCTAAACCCTAAATCCTAAACCCTTTTGGAATTGAAAGGCCTGGTCCGTGGCGACGTCAACATCGTAGTTGCGCAGGCACTGACTACGGCAGACCCTGTGTTTCAGGGATGTTTCGGTTTAGGGCTTTAGGGTTTAGGGCTTAGGGTTTAGGATTTAGGTTGCAGGGTTCAGGATGTAGGCTTTAGGATTTAGGACTGACTTAGGATTTAGGGTTAACAGATTTGGCCCAGGTACGTATAAGAGATTGTAAAATGTAGGGCTTATATAGGGTTTATGTAGAGGTATATACTGGAGGATTTAAGGTAATTAGGCCCTTTGCACAGATTCGCCGAACTAGGGTTGAGTGGTATATGCAGGGATATATACAGGGATACTGGAGAAGAAAATGGAAGCTACGTCTTAGAGTTTAGGGTTTAGGGATACTACGGAGCTTCAAAAGGAAAAGAATATGGAGGATGAAATGGAAACTAGGTTTAAACAGGGATGATATCGGGGGTTACGTACTCACCCCCCCAGAAAGGGTTTATACAGAGCTAGCTAGGCTTTAGGATCAATATAGCCGAATACCTAGCATTTGTAGCCCAAAAATAACTGGAGTTTTCTCAAAACCCCAAATCCCCAAACCCTAAGTCCTAAGCCCTAAACCCTACACTAGTAAACCTAGCCTCTTTGAATCCGGGCAAGGAAGGGAAGAGATTCCTAGAATCCCGCATGGTCACTACAGATCCCAGAGTTTCAAGGTTTAGGGTTCGGGGGTATTGGGGTAATATTGGGGTTATTATATAAGGATCATGGAAAAGAAAATGAAAACTACTATAGTATATTGGGGTCATATAGGGTCTAGGGCTGCGAAGAACCCCTGAACCCTAGACACTACACCCTAAACGCCATGAAAGACACACCTTTTTGCGTTTAGAGCTGCCCTTAGGGGGTCCTTTAAAGGAGCGCCTAGCAGCCCCTAATGTTTTTGGCAGAAGCTTAAACTCTACATCCTATATGGGAGGTTCCCAAAAATAGGGTGTCCCCCTTTTTTTGGTTTCAGGATTGTCCTATCGTGGTCGTCTATATTGGGGTCCCCTCCACTTGTGCAAACCTGAAGCCCTAATACCCGAAGCCAACACCCTAACCCCTAAACCCTCAACCCTAAACCCCTAAACCCTGAACCCCTAAAACCCTTAACCCCCTAAACCCCCTAAACCCTAAACCCTAAACCCTGAACCCCTAAAACCCTAAACCCCCTACCGCTTTTTGGAACACCTGAGCAGTATTTTATTTGGGGATACTATGGTACCCAAAAAAGAGTAAGACTATATCATCCTTTTGGGTTGTAGTATTGTATATAAGGAAAATAATCTTACTAGGTTTAACCACCAAAAAAAAGCTACCCCAATGTATACCCTATAATCCCAATATAACCCATTGTAGTAGCTTCCATTTTCTTTTCCATTATCCCAATATATAACCCCAATATAAACCCTGTATAATCCCCTATAATCCCAGTTTCCATTTCATTTTCCTTTTTCTTTTCCATTTGATTCTCCATTATAGGGGGATAATAACCCAACGAGGTTTAACCAAACCCTAAACCCTAAACCCTAAACCCTTAACCACAAAAAAAAAAACACTTCTCACCTTGCAGGCTCTGTAAGTTCCTGGGCTCCAGTTGGAGTCGCTCTGTTGGTTTCTTTGCGGCGCTGTAGCGCTGCCCTTGGCCGAAGTGGAAGTTGCTAGGGTTTAGGGTTGAAGGTTTAGGGTTTAGTGTTTAGGGTTTAGGGTTTAAGGTTTAGGGTTTAGGGGTTTGGGGTTTAGGGTTTAGGGTTTAGGGTTTAGGGTTTCGGGTTTAGGGAACTATTGGGCTATATTGGGGCTTTATAGGGACTACATGGGGGCTATGTAGGGTTTAGGGGTTTAGGGGTTTAGGTTTTAGGGTTGAGGGTATAGGGGCTATATAGGGGCTATGTAGGGTTCTATGGGGTTATATAGGGCCATATTGGGGTTATATAGAATCATATAGGGGTTATGTAGGGATTGCATTTTATGGGGATCCAGCGGTGTTCTACAGGGGCTAGAAGGGGATCCTGTGGAGGGATTCCACCATAATGACCCTCTTTTTTGTTGGGTTTAGGGTTTAGGGTTTGGGGTTTAGGATGCCCCCAAATAGGACCATAGTTTTCACAACGCCCTATATCGTCCTCATCGGGGACCCCCCATGGTACGCGAAACGCCTGGGGTTCCCCAAGGACCTCCATTTTGATATTCCCCATCAGTGTTTCCTCACCTGTTTTCCCACGAGGGTTTTTACTGGCATGCTGCCTTCCCTGAACCCTAAACCCCAAACCCTAATCCGAAACCCTAAACCCTAAACCCCAAATAGTAGTTTCCATTGATTTTCCATTATCCCAATACAACCCGTACATAACCCCTGTATAACCATATATAATCCCTATAACCCCTATAGTTTTCATTTTCTTTTCCATTATCCCAAAATAACCCCAAAATAATCCCTATACATACAAAATTACAATATAGTAGCTTCCATTTTATTTTCCATTATCCCAATATATCCCCAATATATACCCTAATATGTTCCCTAAGCTGTGCCGCCAGACTCCACCATCTCCCCGAAGCGGCGTCGGCGACTAGCAGCCTTGGCAGCACACTCAGCCTTCTCCTGCCTCAAGAGGAGGCTTCCATAGGGTTTAGGGATCTGGGTTTAGGGTTTAGGGTTTAAGTAGGGCGCTGTAGTATACCCCCCTCCAACATACTAGATTCTGTGAAAAGGTACCCTCAAGGCAAGACCTATGCTCAGCACGTCCTATTCATTCCTGCTCTTGGCGCTTTTCATGATCGCAAGACATGCAGTGAACCAATGCATTGCTTGGCCGATAGCCAGGCAAAGCTATATTGAGTTAGCAGCTCACGCAGTCTGCAAGGCAATAGATCGATATCCAGTTTTCCCCCCCTATGTGGGAGTCCCTATAGCAGGGACTATAGTGTATCGGGGTCTACATTGAGGGCCCCCCCTGGCTGGATATCCCCATATCGTGGGTTGGGCCACAGGCACTTGTTGTGCGACTTCCCTGTTGCGAACTGTCAGGTGCTAGCCGCTGGCGATGCAGATGTGATGTTGCAGGATTGCAGGGATATTTTGTGTCTCGTGTATGGGGGTTTCATAAACTGAAGGGTCCCCTTTGTGGGGCCCCCATAATCAGGATTATAGAGTTTGGGGGTCTATATTGGAGTTCCCCTCTTCACGGCAATTACCGTTTGGGTTTCCCTCTTAAAGGACGTATGATGCTCTGAGCCCACGCAGATCCACGCAGTTCTCATCTGGACAGGATGAACTTCAGCAGAAGGTACCTTCTCTACCGAAGGGCACACCAGTGAAGGCACGCATGCTTTACGTCATGGGCACAGAGGGATCACTTCATGTGAGGGTTTCCACTCTATGAGATCACTCCCGTTTCAATGCAGCTGGCTCGAAGTACAGTGATGATCAGAAGCACACATGTGGCCATAGGAGCGCAGAGCATTTCAGTCACACTGCAGTGCATACTTGAGGAACAGAGACAGGGAACACACCAACAGACAAGACCGAGTTTGGAATGAGTTAGCCTGCGCGGTCGTGATTCAAGTCGAGTGCGCCAGAAGAACAAGTTCTTCTGCAAGGCAGCTCGGCAGAACATTGCAACCTCCCCCCTGGTTTAGGGATGATGGAAAATGAAACGGACACTCGTATATTATAATAGAATATATGTATATATATCTTGGGGTTATGTAGGGATAATGAAAAAGAACATGGAAACTATCATCATGGGGTTAAAGGAGCTATAGTCTAAACTCCTTAAAGGTGGCTATATAGGAGATTATATAGGGGACTACTATTGGGCTTATTAAGGGGGATACTAGGAGTGTAGACCCTAAACCCTAAACCTTAAATCTTAAACCCTAAATCCTAAATCCTAGACCCTAAACCTTATAACAACGGTTATTAAGGGGGCTACTAGGAGTTTAGACTATGGCTCATATAGGGTTTGGGGGTTTCTTTGTAGCATTGTAGAGCCTAGCACTTCTAAGACGCTACAACAGTTTTTACAGCCTTATATAACCCCAATATGACTGGTAGTTTCCATTTTCCATATATCCTAATAAAATGTGGTAGTTTCCATTTTCCTTTCCATTATCCCTATATAACCTCATTTTCTACCCTATTACAATCTACGAGTTTCCACTTGCTGCTTCCTCCTCCTCCTCCTGGCCTCCCTATTGATGTAATGGCGATTTTGCACTGACGGAATTCGTAAGAATCAGTCTTTGCGTGAGAGGTATGTCCCTCTTCGACTACGTTTGGAAACCGAAGACCGTTGAAGATAGCATCGATGCGGGGGTTCATCCCGCAGTTGCCGCGCTGCGTAGACAGGAAGCAGACAAGCAGCGAACAGTAAACGATGCTTACCTGCAAGCGGGCGGCTGAAATTTAGGGATACCATTTCGGAGGTCCCTATATCATGGATTATAGTATATTGGGGTTTCCCAAAGTTATGGTAGCCATCAAGTAAGGATTTATCAAAATGAGGGTCTCCTAGGAAGTTTCCGGGTGCGTAAAGGTTTTCTGGACTTCACAGGTGTCCCGGTTTAGGTCTTAGGGATTTTGATGCATTCCCAGAGGGTCCTAAACCCTAAACCCTAAAACCCTAAACCTTAAGTTCCTAACACCTAAATTCCCAGCTGAGGATGCAATTGTGGGGAAGAGATGGCATGGCCAGTCCAGAAGCTGGGTTGCTGTTAAGGAACTTGAAGTAAGTTTCCATAATATAGGGCTTGGGGCTTAGGGTTTGGGTTTTAGGGTTCAGGGTTCAGGTTACCATGATAGGGGTATATAGTAAACCATGGGATTTCATTACTATAGTAGCTTAGCTTAGGTTCCTTCACAGCAACCCAGGAAATGCTCCTGACGTGGACATCAACAAGTTGAGTACCATGGACTCCACCTTCGACCCTTCGCGGCTTGGGCAAGAATGGTCATCTCCCGAAATCTCAGCCTCACAATCCCTCATACAGACCTGGAGAATCCCCTTTTTATTTCTCTCCCCAAGTATACCCTTTGTGTTCCGAAATTCCCAACTGAGCCCTACTCGGAGGGTCACGGTGACTAGGTGAGTATACTTATAAACCCTATAAGCCGTATACTAGCCTCAGTGGCCCCTATCAATAAGCTAGTTACCAAGCCCCCTGACCCTCCAAGTAGGGGGTTTAGGGAGTAAAACGTTGGCAAAATCATGAGCCCTCTTCTTTGCCCTTACTGGACCCAGTGACGGCATTGCTTGGCCGAATCGGGCATTAGGTCAATCCCCTCTGTAGTACTAGCTCCTTAATATGGAGTTATTAGGGCCTTAATTTACTTACAAGAGTCCCTTGTGGTACCCATTACTGAGTGCAGGATTGAACCAAATCAGGCAGTTCTTCAAGCAATCCAAGAAGCTTGGCGTCCACCCGCTGGACTTCATGGAGAAAAAAGTGACGGAACCGTCCATTCCTGGTGCTGGGAGCAGCAAGGACAGACCATCCCAGCTTGCCCGAGCATTGGGCAATTTGGAGTCTTTGTGCCCAGGACAAGAAGAAAGACAAGAAGAAGGAGAAGAAGGACAAGAAAAAGAAGAAGGACAAAAAAAAGAAGAAGGACAAGAAAAAGAAAAAGAAGCATCTCGGCAGTCCTATCAGACACAGCCCGCTTTGTCGAGCCGATGTTGCAGATGAGATGTACAGAGAATAGTTAGTTTTTCAAAGTAGGGGGACATGGGAATCCTCATTATGGGCACCCCGAGAAACGGCACCATCATTGCGGGGAAACCTCGAGTTGTGTCTGCAATGAGGAAGGGATCGTCGTCCTCGTCCTCCTCAAGCTCATCGTCTGGCTCTTCAAACAAAAAGAGGAAGGCTGAGGAGGATACTTGTTTCATAGCGTTGTCTGGTACATGTGGACCACATTCATTATTGGCTATTAATGGGTAATTTTTAGTAGTACGACTAACGACATGGTGATTATGGTGCTAAATTCGTATTGTAAAGGCAATTTTTTGGCTGTTGTGATTATTGTTCTCCACTAGTTTTACTACCATTTTTATTCTTCTTATTTTATCCAGATCAGGAGCTGCAGCAGTACCAGATGCGAATAGCGGAGGCGGATGCTGAAGTCTTGCTTCAAGCAGCTGTGGCTTTGGGTAGTTTCTGATCTCATGTTTGGGGGTTCAGGGTGTATCTCAAGATTGCCTTCGTAGAATCCCGAGTACAGCAAGGACCCCCCGTAATCGCTGCGTATCCCCCTTCATGGTTGTTTTACACAATAACCCATATGTCATCCCTAATGAGGACACCCTTCATCCCACCGTCATCCATACATATCCCTGGGGTGCCTGGGACGGGCCCCTCTGTTTTCGAGAAAATGCCAAATACCGTTCACGTATTTCAAGGCCCCCTTCCTCACAGATTTCATTTAATTGCCATTTTATTTTCCGTTTGATTGTCCATCATTGGGCCCTAGATCCCTGTAGTAGAATATCCTTTTTTACCACTATAGAACGCCTATAGAATCCTGACAGAATCCCCATGTAGCTCTAAGCCCTAATTTTCAGAACCCCTAAACCTAAAACCCTAAACCCTAAACTCTAAACCCCAAACTCTAAACCCTAAATCCTAAACCCTAAACCCCCCTTATTTCAGGCCCGGCAGAAGCAGCAAGCCCTGGCGGAGTTGGAGCAGATGAAGGCCAGCATGATAACAGATAGGGTCATAATCCCTTAGGGTTTAAGCTTTAGGGTTTAGGGTTTAGGGTTTAGGGTTTAAGGTTTAGGGTTTAGGGTTTGGGGCTTAGGGTTTTGGGTATCTATCGGGGCATAGGTTTAGGGTATTTCAGGGTCTATGGCATAGGGAAGAATGGAAAGGTACATAGGGCTATATGGGGCTCAGGGTTTAGGGAAGAATGGGAAAGGCAGTGGAAACTACTGCATACATCGGGGTTAAAGGATCCCCTCCTATTCGAAGGCGCACACACACACACCTGATAGTAGACAATCCAATTCTAATATAACACACCGGGAAGAGTTCATAGTAGGGGAGGGGGTGGGGGGTTCAATATTAGGAGCAATAACATCCTCCTAAAGGGACACATAGACCTCTCTATGTTTAGATTTTAAACCCCTAAACCCCTAAAACCCCTAAAACCCCTAAAACCCCTAAACCCTAAACCCTAAACGATTTTATGGGGACCGTCTAGAAACTGGCAGTTTGTAATTCGGAGCCTAAAATCCCCTGCTGTGAAGGCTCAGAGGAGGGCCGAAAAGGAAGCTGCTGCCAGGGCCTCGCAGCAACGCATGACCCCCATGAGGCCTCCCGAGTTTAGGGTTTAGGGTTTAGGGGCTAGGGGTTAGGGTTTAGGGTTTTGCTTTTTTAGGGTTCAGGGTTTAGGGCTCAGGGTTTCGAGGTTCAAGGTTTAACAGGGTTCAGGGTTTTGGCATTTCGAGAAAATTCCCATATATTACTCCATGAGGCTTTTTGGGGGTGCATTGAGGATTAGGGATTGAGGGTTTGGGGTTTGGATTGAGGGCCCTAACCCTAAACCATAAACTCTAGGGTTTAGGGCTTTGGGTTCCTGGACGTTTAGGATCTGGATTTTTGGTATAAGGGTGTGTGGTTCCGGGATGATGAGCCTGGAGCTCAGGTATACAAGGGTGCAGGTTCCGGGGCATTCAGCGTCTAGGGTTTAGGGTTTAGGGTAGGGTCAATGGGTGGGGGTAAGGAAAGTCAGGCCTGAGAGACCGTGCAGCATGCTTGCTCGGGATTCGTGTTGCAGGAGGTGTCTTGCTCAGTTGCGAGGACCTGCACCAAGGCTTCATGAGTTGTCAACGTTGAGGAATACAGTAGTAATCGTAGTAGCAACAGCAATAATTCTATTTCTGAACAGAGTGGTCATAACAACAATAGTAGTGGAGAATCAACTGCAAAAGAGCTACATCGACAGCGACATGACGATCTGAACGCAGAATTTTGGGTTGGAAGGCGATAGGCCACTCAACAAAGTCCAATGTGCAAGCCCCATACATATTCTTTGACTAAAGAGTGTACCTCATATTCAGAAACCATGAACACCCTAAACCCTAAACCCTAAACCCTAAACCCAAATGGCCTCCTAAATCCTGAGCTCTCAGCTCCAAGCCCCCATCCGCACCCTTAAACTGACTCTAAAGCCTCATCCCTAAATCCC